TCCCCCCCGCCTTTATGTGACGTCAACGCGCGGCTCCGCGAAGCCACGCCCCCTCCTCGCCCCCGCCCCTCCCTCGTTTTCCCGCCCTCTGCCGGGGTGACGTCAGCGCCGCCACGCCCCCCCCTTTCCTCCCGCCTTTCTTTCCCCGCCCTTTTGTGACGTCATCGCTCGACCCGGCCTTTTTCCCCGCCCGGATTTTCCCCGCGCGCGGTGACGTCAGCGAGGCCGCGCCCCCCCTTTTCCCCGCCCTCCCGTAGTGACGTCACTTCCCCCCGCCCCACCCCTCCCGTTGGCTCGCCGGCGGGCGGGTGACGTCACGCGGGTGTCGCTTTCATCACAGAGCTTTAATGGATGACGTCACGAGAACGTTCCCACGGGGGGGGTGGGGGAATGGGATTAAAAACACAGAGGGGGAGGGGTTGACAGCGGCCCCATTGATCCCTATGGGACCGTGACCCAGTGACCCCCATCGCCCCCCATCACCCCCCAGTGACCCCATTGATCCCATTGACCCCCATTGACCCCCATTAACACCCCATGACCCCCATTGATTACATTAACCCCCATTGACTCCCATTGAGCCCCATTGACCCCCATTGAGCCGCCATTGACTCCATTGCCCCCCATTAACCCCCATTAACCCCCATTGACTCCCATTGATTCCATTGACCCCCATTGACTCCCATTGGTTCCATTGACCCCCATTGACTCCCATTGGTTCCACTGCCCCCCATTGACTCCCATTGACCCCCATTGACCCCCATTGACTCCCATTGGTTCCATTGACCCCCATTGACTCCCATTGGTTCCATTGACCCCCATTGACTCCCATTGGTTCCACTGCCCCCCATTGACTCCCATTGGACCCCCATTGACCCCCATTGACTCCCATTGTTCCATTGACCCCATTGACCCCCATTGATTCCCACTGCCCCCATTGACTCCCATTGATTCCATGACCCCCATTGACTCCCATTGGTTCCATTGACCCCCATTGACTCCCATTGGTTCCATTGACCCCATTGACCCCCATTGACCCCCCATTGATTCTATTAACCCCCACTGACCCCCCATTGACTCCCATTGGTTCCATTGACTCCCATTGACCCCCATTGATCCCCATTGATTCCATTGACCCCCATTGATTCCCATTGACCCCCATTGCCCCCCATTGCCCCCCATTGCCCCCCATCCCCCCCTCACCCCCCCGTACTCCCCTCCCCCTCCCCCCCTCCCCCTCCTCCCCCTCCTCCCCTCCTCCCCCCCCCTCCCCCTCCCCCTCCCCCCTCCGAAGCCCCGCCCCCCGCCTCGCGCACGTCCAATGGGAGCCTCCCGTGCAGCGGCGCCAGCTCCGCGCTCTCCAACGTGGCCACGAGGAGGCGGGGCCCGGCGCGGAGCGGGAGCACGGCCTGGGTAAGGCGGACCGACTGCCCCGCCCCCACCGTCCTATGGGGGGATGGGAGCCGTGGGGCAGCCTATGGGGGGTCTATGGGGTCTCTATGGGGGTCTATGGGGGGATATGGGGGGGATATGGGGGGTCTATGGGGTCTATGGGGTCTATGGGGGGATATGGGGGGTCTATGGGGGTCTATGGGGGTCTATGGGGGGTCTATGGGGGTCTATGGGGTGTCTATGGGGGTCTATGGGGGTCTATGGGGTGTCTATGGGGGTCTATGGGGGGATATGGGGGTCTATGGGGCTCTATGGGGTGTCTATGGGGCTCTATGGGGGGATATGGGGGTCTATGGGGGCTCTATGGGGGTCTATGGGGGGTCTATGGGTGTCTCTGGGGGTCTATGGGGGGTCTATGGGGGTCTATGGGGGTCTATGGGGGGTCTATGGGGGTCTATGGGGGGCTATGGGGTCTCTATGGGGGTCTATGGGGGTCTATGGGGGGTCTATGGGTGTCTCTGGGGGTCTATGGGGGGTCTATGGGTGTCTCTGGGGGTCTATGGGGGTCTATGGGGGGTCTATGGGGGTCTATGGGGGCTATGGGGTCTCTATGGGGGTCTATGGGGGGATATGGGGGTCTATGGGGTGTCTATGGGGTCTCTATGGGGTCTCTATGGGGGTCTATGGGGGTCTATGGGGGGTCTATGGGGGGTCTATGGGGGTCTATGGGGGGATATTGGGGGGGATATGGGGGTCTATGGGGGTCTATGGGGGTCTATGGGGGTCTATGGGGGGTCTATGGGGGTCTATGGGGTCTCTATAGGGCTCTATGGGGCTCCATGGGGTCTCTATGGGGGGCTATGGGGCGTCTATGGGGTCTCTATGGCGTGTCTATGGGGGGTCTATGGGGGGATAGGGGGGTCTATGGGGGGTCTATGGGGGGTCTATGGGGTCTCTATGGGGGTCTATGGGGCTCTATGGGGTCTCTATGGGGGTCTATGGGGGGGATATGGGGTCCTATGGGGGGATATGGGGGGTCTATGGGGGGTCTATGGGGGTCTATGGGGGTCTATGGGGGCTCTATGGGGGTCTATGGGGTCTCTATGGGGGTCTATGGGGGGTCTGTGGGGGTCTATGGGGGTCTATGGGGGGTCTATGGGGGTCTATGGGGGTCTATGGGGTTTCTATGGGGGTCTATGGGGGGCTATGGGGGTCTATGGGGTGTCTATGGGGGTCTATGGGGGGATATGGGGGTCTATGGGGCTCTATGGGGTGTCTATGGGGTGTCTATGGGGGTCTATGGGGGGATATGGGGGTCTATGGGGCTCTATGGGGGGATATGGGGGTCTATGGGGTCTCTATGGGGGTCTATGGGGGGATATGGGGGGTCTATGGGGGTCTATGGGGGTCTATGGGGGTCTATGGGGGGTCTATGGGGGTCTATGGGGGTCTATGGGGGGGCTATGGGGGGTCTATGGGGGTCTATGGGGGGTCTATGGGGGGTCTATGGGGCTCTATGGGGGTCTATGGGGGGGATATGGGGGCTCTATGGGGGGTCTATGGGGGTCTATGGGGGTCTATGGGGGCTCTATGGGGGTCTATGGGGTCTCTATGGGGGTCTATGGGGGGATATGGGGGGTCTATGGGGGTCTATGGGGGGTCTATGGGGTCTCTATGGGGGTCTATGGGGGTCTATGGGGGGTCTATGGGGGTCTATGGGGTCTCTATGGGGGTCTATGGGGGTCTATGGGGGGTCTATGGGGGGTCTATGGGGCTCTATGGGGGTCTATGGGGGGGATATGGGGGCTCTATGGGGGGTCTATGGGGGTCTATGGGGGTCTATGGGGGCTCTATGGGGTCTATGGGGTCTCTATGGGGGTCTATGGGGGGTCTATGGGGGGTCTATGGGGGTCTATGGGGGTCTATGGGGGTCTATGGGGTCTCTATGGGGTCTATGGGGTCTATGGGGGTCTATGGGGTCTTATGGGGGTCTATGGGGTCTATGGGGGGTCTATGGGGGTCCTATGGGGTCTATGGGGGTCTATGGGGAGTCTATGGGGGGTCTATGGGGGTCTATGGGGCTCTATGGGGTCTATGGGGGGGCTATGGGGCTCTATGGGGTGTCTATGGGGCTCTATGGGGTGTCTATGGGGTCTCTATGGGGTCTCTATGGGGGTCTATGGGGCTCTATGGGGGGTCTATGGGGTGTCTATGGGGGTCTATGGGTCTCTATGGGGGTCTATGGGTCTCTATGGGGGTCTAAGGGGTCTCTATGGGGGTCTATGGAGGCTCTCTATGGGGCTATGGAGCCCTCTCTATGGGGCTCTATGGGGTGTCTATGGGGGTCTATGAGGTGTCTATGGGGGTCTATGGGGGGTCTATGGGGTGTCTATTGGGCTCTATGGGGTCTCTATGGGGTCTATGGGGGGATATGGGCGTCTATGGGGGGTATGGGGGGTCTCTGGGTTCTCTATGGGGTGTCTATGGGGTCTCTGTGGGGGTCTATGGGGGTCTCTATGGGTGTCTATGAAGACTCTATGGGGATCTATGGGGCTATATAGGGCGCTATGGGGCACTATGGGGTGTCTCTAGGGCGCTATGGGGTCTCTATAGGGCAGTATGGGGTCCCATAGAGCCAGAATCACTCCCCCCCCCCCCCATTCCCAACCCAATCCCCATAGCTCCCCCCATAGATCCGCCCCCATCTCTGCCCCATAGCTCCCCCCCATAGATCCCCCCATACCTCCCCCCTTACATCCCCCCTATATCTCCTGCCCCATAGCTCCCCCCCCATGGCTCCCCTCTTAGCTCCCCATAGCTCCCCCCCCATAGCTCCGCCCCATAGCTCCCCCCAGCCCCATAGCGATCCGCTCCATAGCTCTGCCCCATAGCTCCCCCCCAGCCCCATAGCTCCCCCCCATAGCTCCCCCCCATAGCTCCCCCACAGGCCCATAGCGCTCCACCCCATAGCTGTGCCCCATAGCTCCCCCCCATAGCTCCGCCCCATAGCTCCCCCCCATAGCTCCGCCCCATAGCGCCCCCCAGGCCCCATAGCGCTCCGCCCCATAGCTCCGCCCCATAGCTCCGCCCCATAGCTCCACCCCATAGCCCCCCCCATAGATCCCCCATAGCTCCGCCCCATAGCTCCGCCCATGCTCCCCCCCATAGCTCCCCCTCATCTCCAGCCCCATAGCTCCCCCCCATAGCTCCGCCCCATAGCGGCCCCCCAGCCCCATAGCGCTCCGCCCCATAGCCCCCCCCAGCCCCATAGCGCTCCGCCCCATAGCTCCCCCCCAGCCCCATAGCTCCCCCCATAGCTCCCCCCCATAGCTCCCCCCCAGCCCATAGCGCTCCGCCCCATAGCTCCACCCTAGCTCCGCCCCATAGCTCCACCCCATAGCTCCGCCCATAGCTCCGCCCCATAGCTCCGCCCCATAGCTCCCCCCAGCCCCCATAGCTCCGCCCATAGCTCCCCCCCTAGCTCCGCCCCATAGCTCCCCCCCCCATAGCTCCGCCCATAGCTCCGCCCCATAGCTCCGCCCCACTAGCTCCCCCCCAGCCCCATAGCTCCGCCCATAGCTCCCCCCCATAGCCCCCCCCATAGCTCCGCCCCATAGCTCCGCCCCATAGCGCCCCCCAGCCCCATAGCGCTCCGCCCCATAGCTCCCCCCCAGCCCCATAGCTCCCCCCCATAGCTCCCCCCAGCCCCATAGCTCCGCCCCATAGCCCCCCTCACCCCAGCTGCAGCGGTTTGGGGCACGCCAGCCCCGCCCCCTCCATGCGCAGCGCGGTTCCCGTCAGCGCCCGCGGCAGCGGGTTCCGGAAAAGGGCCTGGACCGGAGCCTCCCTGACCCACAACGGCCTCGGCCAGGAGCTGGGGTCAGGGGTCAGGGGTCAGGGGTCAGGGGGAATCAGGGGGAGGGGAGAGGGGAGGGGGAGAGGGGGGAGGGGGTCAGGGGAGGGGGAGGGGGGAGGGGAGAGGGGGAGGGGGAGGGGATCAGAGGGGGAGGGAGGGGGAGGGGGAGGGGGAGAGGGGGAGGGGGTGGGAGGAGGGGAGAGGGGGGGGAAGGGATCAGGGGGAAGGGGGGGAGGGGGAGGGGTCAGAGGGGAGGGGGGGGAGGGGGGGAGAGAGAGGTCAGGGGGGAGGGGAGAGGGGTCAAGGGGGGGAGGGGAGGGGAGAGGGGTCAAGGGGGGAAGGGATCAGAGGGGGAGCGAGGGGGAGGGGAGGGGGGGAGAGGGGTCAGGGGGGGAGGGGAGGAGGGGGAGGGGTCAGTGGAGGGGGGGAGGGGATCAGAGGGGAGAGGGGAGGGGTCGGGGGGGGGAGGGGGAGGGGAAAGAGGTCAGGGGGGGAGGGGAGGGTGGAGAGGGGTCAGGGGAGGGGGAGGGGTCAGGGGGGAGGGGGAGGGAGGGGGAGAGGGGGGGAGAGGGGGGAGCGGGGAGGGGATCAGAGGGGGAGGGGTCAGGGGGGAGGGGAGGGGGGAGGGAGGGGTCAAAGGGTGGAGGGGAGAGGGGAGGGGTCAGAGGGGGGGGAGGGGGAGGGGAGAGAGGTCGGGGGGGGAGGGAATCGGGGGTGGAGGGGGGAGGGGAGAGGGGTCAAGGGGGGGAGGGGAGGGGGGAGGGGTCAAGGGATGGGGGGGAGGGGAGGGGTCAGGGGGGAGGGGAAAGAGGGAAGGGGGGGAGGGGAGAGGGGGCAGAGGGGTCAGCGGGAGGGGGGGAGGGGGAGTGGGGAGGGGATCGGGGGGGAGGGGGAGGGGTCGGGGGGAGGGGAGGGATCAGGGGAGGTGGGGGAGGGGAGGGGGGAGGGGTCGGGGGGGGAGGGGATCAGGGAAGAGGGGAGCCACAGCAGGGGGGGTGGGAGCTGTGGGGGGTGGGACCCATAGGGAATGGGGGGGGATGGGAAATGGGACCCATAGGGAGTGGGGGGGGAGCCATAGGGAATGGGACCCATAGGGAATGGGGGGGGATGGGAAATGGGACCCATAGGGAATGGGGGGGGATGGGAAATGGGACCCATAGGGAGTGGGGGGGGATGGGAAATGGGACCCATAGGGAATGGGGGGGGATGGGAAATGGGACCCATAGGGAGTGGGGGGGGATGGGAAATGGGACCCATAGGGAATGGGGGGGGATGGGGAATGGGACCCATAGGGAGTGGGGGGGGAGCCATAGGGAATGGGAGCTGTGGGGGATGGGGATGGATAGGGAATGGGACCCATAGGAAATGGGGTGGAAGCTATAGGGAGTGGGGTGGGAGTTGTGGGGCTGGGACCCATAGGGAATGGGGATGGATGGGGAATGGGACCCATAGGGAATGGGATCAGTGGGGATGGGGTGGATGGGGCTCGGCTGTATGGGGCAGGGCGCTATGGGGCAGGCTCTATCTATGGGGCAGGGCTCTATGGGTTAGGGCTGTATGGGTCCAGTCTCTATGGGGCAGGTCTCTATGGGTCCGGCCTCTATGGGTCTGGCTCTATGGGTCTGGTGCTATGGGGCAGGGTCTATGGGTCTGGTCTCCATGGGGCAGGGTTCTATGGGGCAGGTATCTATGGGTCCAGTCTCTATGGGTCCGGGCTCTATGGTTCCAGGCTCTATGGGTCTGGTCTCTATGGGGCTGGGCTCTATGGGTCCGGGCTCTATGGGGCAGGCTCTATGGGTCTGGGTGCTATGGGGCAGAATCTATGGGTCAGTGCTCTATGAGGCAGGATTCTATGGGTCCGGGCTCTATGGGGCAGGTCTCTTTGGGGCAGGATCTATGGGTCCAGGTGCTATGGGGCAGAATCTATGGGGCAGGGTTCTATGGGTCAGTGCTCTATGGGTCCGGTTTTTATGGTTCTGGGCACTATGGGTCTGCTCTCTATGGGTCCACCCTCTATGGGTCAGCTGTCTATGGGTCTGGCGCTATGGGTCTGGGCTCTATGGGGCAGGCTCTATGGGCCAGGCGCTATGGGGCAGGCACTATGGGGCTCTATGGGTCAGGTCTCTATGGGTCCGGCACTATGGGGCTGGCTCTATGGGTCTGGTCTCTATGGGGCAGGCACTGTGGGTCCAGGTGCTATGGGGCAGGTCCCTATGGGGCAGGCTCTATGGGTCCAGGTGCTATGGGGCAGAATCTATGGGGCAGTGCTCTATGGGGCAGGCTCTATGGGTGTGGTCTCTATGGGTCCGGGTGCTATGGGGCAGAATCTATGGGTCTGGGCTCTATGGGGCAGGTCTCTATGGGGCAGGCTCAATGGGTCCACTCTCTATGGGGCAGGCTCTATGGGTTCGTATGGGTCGCTATGGGTCCCTATGGTCTCTTTATGGTTCTCTATGGGCCCCTATGGCTCCCTATGTGTCCCTATGTGTCTCTATGGGTCTCTATGGGTCTCTATGGGTCCCTATGGGTCTCTATGGGTCTCTATGTGTCTCTATGTGTCCCTATGGGTCCCTATGGGTCCCTATGTGTCTCTATGGGTCTCTATGTGTCTCTATGTGTCCCTATGGGTCCCTATGGGTCCCTATGTGTCCCTATGTGTCTCTATGTGTCTCTATGTGTCCCTATGTGTCTCTATGTGTCTCTATGTGTCCCTATGGGTCCCTATGGGTCCCTATGGGTCCCTATGGGTCCCTATGGGTCTCTATGTGTCTCTATGTGTCTCTATGGGTCCCTATGTGTCTCTATGGGTCTCTATGGGTCTCTATGGGTCCCTATGGGTCCCTATGGGTCCCTATGTGTCCCTATGTGTCCCTATGTGTCTCTATGTGTCTCTATGTGTCTCTATGTGTCTCTATGTGTCCCTATGTGTCCCTATGGGTCTCTATGGGTCTCTATGGGTCTCTATGTGTCTCTATGGGTCTCTATGTGTCCCTATGGGTCCCTATGGGTCCCTATGTGTCTCTATGGGTCTCTATGGGTCCCTATGGGTCTCTATGGGTCCCTATGGGTCCCTATGTGTCTCTATGGGTCTCTATGGGTCCCTATGGGTCCCTATGGGTCCCTATGTGTCTCTATGGGTCTCTATGGGTCCCTATGGGTCCCTATGGGTCCCTATGTGTCTCTATGGGTCCCTATGGGTCCCTATGTGTCCCTATGGGTCCCTATGGGTCCCTATGGGTCTCTATGGGTCTCTATGGGTCTCTATGGGTCCCTATGGGTCCCTATGTGTCCCTATGGGTCCCTATGTGTCTCTATGGGTCCCTATGGGTCTCTATGGGTCTCTATGTGTCTCTATGTGTCTCTATGTGTCTCTATGTGTCTCTATGGGTCTCTATGGGTCTCTATGGGTCCCTATGTGTCCCTATGTGTCTCTATGGGTCTCTATGGGTCTCTATGGGTCCCTATGTGTCCCTATGTGTCTCTATGGGTCCCTATGTGTCCCTATGGGTCCCTATGGGTCCCTATGGGTCTCTATGGGTCTCTATGGGTCTCTATGGGTCCCTATGTGTCCCTATGTGTCTCTATGTGTCCCTATGTGTCCCTATGGGTCTCTATGGGTCCCTATGGGTCTCTATGGGTCAGTACCGTGAGGCCCAGCTCCGGGACGTGCAGCCGCACCCTCAGCTCCTTGGCCAGGACCTGCCCGGTCTCGTCCACGGCGCCGGCGGCCGTGAGGTGCAGCCCCTGCCCCGCCCCCACGTGCCCCGAGTACTCCCCATAGGGCACGGCCATGGAGATCAGCTCCTCTGGGGGGCGGCAGTGGGGCAGCCCCATTGGCATCCATTGATTTCCATTGAGCCCCATTGACACCCATTGAAACCCATTGACATCCATTGACTTCCATTGAGCCCCATTGAAACCCATTGACTTCCATTGACTTCCATTGAGCCCCATTGACACCCATTGACACCCATTGACTTCCATTGACTTCCATTGAGCCCCATTGACACCCATTGAAACCCACCGACACCCATTGAGCCCCATTGACACCCATTGACTTCCATTGAGCCCCATTGAAAACCATTGATCCCCATTGACTTCCATTGAGCCCCACTGACACCCATTGACACCCATTGAAACCCATTGACACCCATTGACATCCATTGACTTCCATTGACACCCATTGAGCCCCATTGACACCCATTGACTTCCATTGACTCCCATTGAGCCCCATTGACCCCATTGATACCCATTGAGCCCCATTGAAACCCATTGAGCCCCATTGACACCCACTGAAACCCATTGACACCCATTGAAAACCATTGACTCCCATTGACACCCATTGACACCCATTGACTTCCATTGACACCCATTGAGCCCCATTGACACCCATTGAGCCCCATTGACACCCATTGACTCCCATTGAGCCCCGTTGACACCCATTGAATTCCATTGAGCCCCATTGACACCCATTGATCCCCATTGACCCCCATTGACTCCCATTGACACCCATTGAAACCCATTGAGCCCCATTGACACCCATTGACTCCCATTGACATCCATTGACTTCCATTGACACCCATTGAGCCCCATTGACACCCATTGACTTCCATTGACTCCCATTGAGCCCCATTGACACCCATTGAAACCCACCGACACCCATTGAGCCCCATTGACACCCATTGACTTCCATTGAGCCCCATTGAAAACCATTGATCCCCATTGACACCCATCGAAACCCATTGACACCCATTGAAAACCATTGACTCCCATTGACACCCATTGACTTCCATTGACACCCATTGAGCCCCATTGAGCCCCATTGACACCCATTGACTCCCATTGAGCCCCGTTGACACCCATTGAATTCCATTGAGCCCCATTGACACCCATTGATCCCCATTGACCCCCATTGACTCCCATTGACACCCATTGAAACCCATTGACCCCCATTGAGCCCCATTGACACCCATTGACACCCATTGAGCCCCATTGACACCCATTGACACCCATTGATCCCCATTGACTTCCATTGAGCCCCACTGACACCCATTGACACCCATTGAAACCCATTGACACCCATTGACATCCATTGACTTCCATTGACACCCATTGAGCCCCATTGACACCCATTGACTTCCATTGACTCCCATTGAGCCCCATTGAGCTCATTGATACCCATTGAGCCCCACTGAAACCCATTGAGCCCCATTGACACCCATTGAAACCTATTGACACCCATTGAAAACCATTGACTCCCATTGACACCCATTGATACCCATTGACTTCCATTGACACCCATTGAGCCCCATTGACACCCATTGAGCCCCATTGACACCCATTGACTCCCATTGAGCCCCGTTGACACCCATTGAATTCCATTGAGCCCCATTGACACCCATTGATCCCCATTGACCCCCATTGACTCCCATTGACACCCATTGAAACCCATTGAGCCCCATTGACACCCATTGACTCCCATTGACATCCATTGACTTCCATTGACACCCATTGAAACCCATTGACACCCATTGACTTCCATTGACTCCCATTGAGCCCCATTGAGCCCCATTGAAACCCATTGAGCCCCATTGACACCCATCGAAACCCATTGACACCCATTGAAAACCATTGACTCCCATTGACACCCATTGACTTCCATTGACACCCATTGAGCCCCATTGACACCCATTGAGCCCCATTGAGCCCCATTGACACCCATTGACTCCCATTGAGCCCCGTTGACACCCATTGAATTCCATTGAGCCCCATTGACACCCATTGATCCCCATTGACCCCCATTGACTCCCATTGACACCCATTGAAACCCATTGACCCCCATTGAGCCCCATTGACACCCATTGACACCCATTGAGCCCCATTGACACCCATTGACACCCATTGATCCCCATTGACTTCCATTGAGCCCCACTGACACCCATTGACACCCATTGAAACCCATTGACACCCATTGACATCCATTGACTTCCATTGACACCCATTGAGCCCCATTGACACCCATTGACTTCCATTGACTCCCATTGAGCCCCATTGAGCCCATTGATACCCATTGAGCCCCACTGAAACCCATTGAGCCCCATTGACACCCATTGAAACCCATTGACACCCATTGAAAACCATTGACTCCCATTGACACCCATTGACACCCATTGACTTCCATTGACACCCATTGAGCCCCATTGACACCCATTGAGCCCCATTGACACCCATTGACTCCCATTGAGCCCCGTTGACACCCATTGAATTCCATTGAGCCCCATTGACACCCATTGATCCCCATTGACCCCCATTGACTCCCATTGACACCCATTGAAACCCATTGACCCCCATTGAGCCCCATTGACACCCATTGAAAACCATTGACTCCCATTGACTTCCATTGAGCCCCATTGACACCTATTGACCCCATTGATCCCACTGACTCCCATTGACACCCACTGAGCCCCATTGACACCCATTGAACCCCATTGAGCCCCATTGAAAACCATTGACTCCCATTGACTTCCATTGAGCCCCATTGACACCCATTGATCCCCATTGACACCCATTGACTTCCATTGATCCCCATTGACACCCATTGACTTCCATTGAGCCCCACTGACACCCATTGAAAACCATTGACTCCCATTGACCCCCATTGACTCCCATTGACCCCTATTGATCCCATTGCCTCCCATTGACTCCCATTGATCCCATTGACTTCTATTGCCTCCCATTGCCCCCATTGGCTCCCACTGACTCCCATTGACTCCCATTGCCCCCATTGGCTCCCATTGACTCCCACTGACTCCCGTTGAGCCCCATTGACTCCCATTGCCCCCATTGCCTCCCATTGACTCCCATTGAGCCCCATTGACTCCCATCACCCCCCCATTGCCCCCATTGACCCCCATTGCCCCCATTGATCCCATTGACCCCCATTGATTCCCATTGACCCCCATTGACTCCCATTGACCCCCATTGACTCCCATTGACCCCCATTGACTCCCCTTGACCCCATCACCCCCCATTGCCCCCCCCCTTACCCTGCTGGGGTGGGATGACGCGCTGGTGCTGCTCGTTCCGGAAGGCGGCCGCGGTCACGCCGGTGTAGGTGACGCCGGCGAGCGCCAGGCGGAGCCGTAGGGTCCGAGGCTCCGCCCCCTCGTTGCGGGCCCGCGCCCGCAGCTCCAGCGTAGCCCCGGCCACCGCCTCCTCGGCCGTGACCCACAGCGACACCTCCCCCCCGCTGCCGGCCCCACTGCCAGCCCCATCGGGGCCGGCGCGGTGGGGCCGGGAGCCGTGCGCGGTGGCGGTGGAGACGGCACGGCGTTCCTCGGCTGAGCCTGGGGGGGAAAGGGGGTCGATGGGGGGCAGTGGGGGGGAATGGGAGTCATTGGGGTCAATGGAAGTCAATGGGGTTATTGGGGTCAATGGGAGTCATTGGGGTCAATGGAAGTCAATGGGGTTATTGGGGTCAATGGGAGTCATTGGGATCAATGGATGTCGAGGGTCAATGGGAGTCAATGGGGCAATGGGAGTCATTCTGGTCAATGGGGGTCATTGGGAGTCAATGGGAGTCATTGGGGGTCAATGGGAGTCAATGGGGGTCAATGGGAGTCAATGGGGGTCAATGGGAGGCAGTGGGAGTCAATGGGGGTCAATGGGATCAATTGCAGTCAATGGGGGCAGTGGGAGTCAATGGGGGTCAGTGGGAGTCAATGGCAGTCATTGCGGTCAATGGATGTCAGGGGGCAATGGGAGTCATTGGGGACAATGAGATTCATTGGGGTCAATGGGAGTCAATGGGGGTCATTGGGGTCAATGGGAGTCATTGGGGGTCAATGGGAGTCAATGGGGGTCAATGGGAGTCAATGGGGGTCAATGGGAGGCAGTGGGAGTAAAGGGGTCAATGGGAGTCAATGGGGGTCAATGGGAATCATCGGTATCAATGGGGGTCAATGAGGTCAATGTGGGGCAATTGGAGTCATTGGGGTCAATACCGGCTATGGGGATCAATGGGAGCCAATGGGGGTCAACGGGATTCAATGGGGGTCATGGGATCCTATGGGGAGCCAAGGGTGTCAATGGGGGTCAACAGGGGCCAAAGGCAGTCAATGGGGGTCAATGGGAGTCATTGGGGTCAAAGGGAGTCAATGGGGTCAATAGCAGTCAGTGGGTCTCAATAGGGGTCAACAGGAGTCAATGTGGGTCAATGGGAGTCATTGGGGTCAATGGAAGTCAATGGGGGTCAATGGGGGTCAACGGGAGCCAATGGGCGTCAACGCACGCCGTTTGAGCCAACCCCATTGGCTGCTGCCCCCCCTCCCCTCTCCCCCCTCTCCCCATTGGCCGCCGCCCCCTCTCCCCCTCTCCCCATTGGCTACCCTCGGGGTGCTTGTAGAGGTGGGTGATGTCGAGGCGCGCCCCCGAGCCCGGCCCCACGGTGCTGATGCGGCGCCCGATGGCGCCTTCCTCCACGTGCACCACGGTGAAGGTGCCGTTGGGCTGGCGCTGCCAGTACACCTTGTCGCTGTTCACCTAATTAAGTGGGCCCTAATTAGCGCTAATTAGCATTAATTAGCGTTAATTGGATCTCATTAGCATTAACGATGGGTAATTCGCGCGAAGGAATGAGCGTTAACAGGGTCCCCGTAGACCTTGTTGCTATCAACATAGGGTCGATAGAGATAATTGGTGTTAATGAGGGGTCAGTAGCCTTAATTAGCGTTAATTAGCTCTCACCAAATTAAGTGGACGCTAATTAGCATCAATTATGGCTAATTAACGTTAATTAGCTCTCATTAGCGTTAACGATGGGTAATTCGCGCGAAGGAATGAGCGTTAACAGGGTCCCCATAGACCTTGTTGCTATCAACCTAGGGTCGATAGAGATAATTGGTGTTAATGAGGGGTCAGTAGCCTTAATTAGCGTTAAGTAGCTCTCGCCTAATTAAGTGGGTGCTAATTAGCATCAATTATGGCTAATTAACGTTAATTAGCTCTCATTAGCGTTAACGATGGGTAATTCGCGCGAAGGAATGAGCGTTAACAGGGTCCCCGTAGACCTTGTTGCTATCAACATAGGGTCGATAGACATAATTAGTGTTAATGAGGGGTCAGTAGCCTTAATTAACGTTAATTAGCTCTCACCAAATTAAGTGGGAGCTAATTAGCGCTAATTAGCGTTAATTAGCTCTCATTAGCATTAACGATGGGTAATTCGCGCTAAGGAATGAGCGTTAACAGGGTCCCCGTAGACCTTGTTGCTATCAACCTAAGGTCGATAGAGATAATTGGTGTTAATGAGGGGTCAATAGCCTTAATTAGCGTTAATTAGCTCGTATCTAATTAAATGGGCGCTAATTAGCATCAATTATGACTAATTAACGTTAAATTAGCTCTCATTAGCGTTAACGATGGGTAATTAGCGTGAAGGAATGAGCGTTAACAGGGTCCCCATAGACCTTGTTGCTATCAACCTAGGATCGATAGAGATAATTGGTGTTAATGAGCAATCAATAGCCTTAATTAGCGTTAATTAGCTCTCACCTAATTAAGTGATCGCTAATTAGCATCAATTATGGCTAATTAGCATTAATTAGCTCTCATTAGCATTAACGATGGGTAATTAGCATGAAGGAATGAGCGTTAACATGGTCCCCATAGACCTTGTTGCTATCAACCTAGGGTCGATAGAGATAATTGGTGTTAATGAGGGGTCAGTAGCCTTAATTAGCGTTAATTAGCTCTCATCAAATTAAGTGGTAGCTAATTAGCGCTAATTAGCGTTAATTAGCTCTCATTAGCATTAACGATGGGTAATTAGCGTGAAGGAATGAGCGTTAACAGGGTCCCCATAGACCTTGTTGCTATCAACCTAGGATCGATAGAGATAATTGGTGTTAATGAGCGGTCAATAGCCTTAATTAGCGTTAAGTAGCTCTCACCTAATTAAGTGGACGCTAATTATCCCTAATTAGCGCTAATTATGGCTAATTAGCGTTAATTAGCTCTCGTTTTCGTTAACGATGGGTAATTAGCGCTAAGGAATGAGCGTTAATGCGGTCCCCATAGACCTTATCATAGGTTAGTTGGCGATAATTAGCGTTAATTAGCGTTAATTGGCTATTAGTTAATGATAGCAAACCTTTTGACCTTATTAATGGGCGCTATTTAGACTTAATTAGCGCTAATTATCCTTAATTGGTTCTCATTAGCGTTAATTATGGGTCATTAGCGCTAAGAAATGGAAGTTAATAGGGTCCCCATAGACGTTGTTGCTATTAACGTAGGGTCGTTAGCGATAATTAGCGTTAATTGGCGTTAATTAGCTGCTAGTAAATCTTTTGACCTAATTAACAGGTGCTATTTAGACTTAATTAGCGTTAATTATCGCCCATTAGCATAATTAAGCTCTAATTAATGAGGGTTAATGACATCCGATGACTTAATTAATTGGGCGCTAATTATCCCAAATAGCGTTAATTGGTGTTAATTACCGTTAATTATGGACAATTGGCGCTAATAAATGACCGTTAATAGGATCCCCCTCTAACATTAATTCCCCCTCATTAGCATTAATTACCCTCATTAGCATTAATAACCCATTATAACCATTATACTCCCTCATTAGCATTAATTCCCCCTCATTAGCATTGATTACCCTTCATTTGCATTAATTAGCACTAGTTCCCCCCTCATTAGCATCAGTTACCCCTCATTAGCACTGACTATTCCTCATTAGCATCAATTAATAACCCATTATAACCATCATACCCCCTCATTAGCATTAATTCCCCCTCATTAGCATTACCTCCTCATTAGCATAAAGTAGCGCTAATTACCTCCTCATTAGCATCTATTAATAACCCATTATAACCATTATACCCCTCAATAGCATTAATTCCCCCTCATTTGCACTGATTACCCCTCATTAGCATTAATTAGCGCTAGTTCCCCCCTCATTAGCACTGATTATTCCGCATTAGCATCAATTAATAACCCATTATAACCCTATTTTAACCCATTATCACCATTATAGCCCCTCATTAGCATTAATTACCCCTCATTAGCATTAATTACCCCCATTAGCCTCAATCACCCTTCATTAGCATTTATTACCCCTCATTAGCATCAATTTATAACCCCTTTATAACCCATTATAACCCCTTTATAACCCATTATAACCCCATTATAACCATCATACCCCCTCATTAGCATGAATTCCCCCCTCATTAGCATTAATTCCCCCCTCATTAGCATTAATAACCCCCTCATTAGCATAAATTAGCCATACCTCAGCGAACACGAAGGGGGTGTCGTACTTGAGGAAGACCTCCCCATTCTTCACCGCCTCCACGGAGCAGGGCCCGCAGCAGAACAGCCCTAAAGGCACCAGTATAAACCAGTATAAACCAGTATAAACCAGTATAAACCAGTATGGACCAGTATGGACCCGTAGAACCCAATATACCCCAATAGAACCCATTCTAACCAGAATAAACCAGTAGGGACCAGTATAGATATAGACCAGTATAAACCAGTATGGACCAGTATGGACCAGTATGGACCAGTATAACCCAATATACCCCTATAGAACCCATTCTAACCAGAATAAACCAGTAGGGACCAGTATAGGTATAGACCAGTATAAACCAGTATGGACCAGTATGGACCAGTATAAACCAGTATAAACCAGTATGGACCAGTATAAACCAGTATAAACCAGTATAAACCAGTATAAACCAGTATAAACCAGTATGGACCAGTATGGACCAGTATGGACCAGTATGGACCAGTGGAACCCAATATACCCCTATAGAACCCATTCTAACCAGAATAAACCAGTAGGGACCAGTATAGGTATAGACCAGTATAAACCAGTATGGACCAGTATGGACCAGTATAACCCAATATACCCACTAGAACCCATTCTAACCAGAATAAACCAGTATAAACCAGTATGGACCAGTATAACCCATTAAACCCCATTATACTCCCATTATACCCCATTAAACCCCATTATACCCCCCTATAACCCATTATAACCAGTATAACCAGTATAAACCAGTATGGACCAGTATAAACCAGTATGGACCAGTATAACCCATTAAACCCCATTATATTCCCATTATACTCCCATTATACCCCATTAAACCCCATTATACCCCCCTATAACCCATTATAACCAGTATAACCAGTATAAACCAGTATAACCAGTATAAACCAGTATAAACCAGTATATACCACTGCTGGTCTCCTGGGGGGTGGCATCCACCACTTGCCACCCATCGTGGCCTGCGGGGAGGTCGGGCCTCTTCATCCAGCAGTCGTTCCACACGTGGAAGTTCCTGCAGGACCAGTATAAACCAGTATAAACCAGTATGGACCAGTATGGACCAGTATGGACCAGTATAAACCAGTATGGACCAGTATGGACCAGTAGCAACCGGTACGGACCAGTATGATCAGCGTAAACCACGCTAAAGCACTCTAAACCACTCTAAACCACCCCAAAACCCCAAACCAGTATAAACCAGTATAAACCAGTATAAACCAGTACCACCCCAAATCACTTCTCATTCACTCCATTGCCTTCCTAACCCCCATAAACCCCCTAAATCCCCCCAAAAACACCCCAAAACCCCCAAACCAGTATAAACCAGTATAAACCAGTATACACCAGTATAAACCAGTACCACCCCAAATCATTTCTCATTCACTCCATGGCCTTCCTAACCCCCATAAACCCCCTAAATCCCCCCAAAAACACCCCAAAACCCCCAAACCAGTATAAACCAGTATAAACCAGTATAAACCAGTATAACCCAGTACCACCCCAAATCACTTCTCATTCACTCCATGGCCTTCCTAACCCCCATAAACCCCCTAAATCCCCCAAAAACACCCAAAAAACCCCAAACCAGTATAAACCAGTATAAACCAGTATAAACCAGTATAAACCAGTACCACCCCAAATCACTTCTCATTCACTCCATGGCCTTCCTAACCCCCATAAACCCCCTAAATCCCCCCAAAAACACCCAAAAAACCCCAAACCAGTATAAACCAGTATAAACCAGTATAAACCAGTATAAACCAGTATAACCCAATACCACCCCAAATCACTTCTCATTCACTCCATGGCCTTCCTGACCCCCATAAACCCCATAAATCCCCCTAAAAACCCCCCCGAACCCCCAAACCAGTATAAACCAGTATAAACCAGTATAAACCAGTATAACCCAGTACCACCCCAAATCACTTCTCATTCACTCCATGGCCTTCCTAACCCCCATAAACCCCATAAATCCCCCTAAAAACACCCCAAAACCCCCCCAAACCCCCAAACCAGTATAAACCAGTATAAACCAGTATAAACCAGTATAAACCAGTATAACCCAGTACCAAACGGAGTCGGTGTTGAGGCGCTCCATGGGCTTCATGCTCTCGTCCAGGTAGATGTCGGTGGTGAGGGAGACGTCGGTGTCGTGCGCCGAGTTGTAGTTGGTCACCGTCCGCGTCGGCAGCCCCAGGCACCGCAGCACTGCCGGGACCAGTATAAACCAGTATAAACCAGTATAAACCAGTATAAACCAGTATAAACCAGTATAAACCAGTATAACCCAGTATAACCCATTAAACCCCATTGTAACGCATCGCAACCCAATTCCAACCCAATATAGCCCAATAGACCAGTATAAACCAGTATAAACCAGTATAAACCAGTATAAACCAGTATAACCCAGTATAACCCATTATAAACCAGTATAACCCATTAAAACCCATTAAACCCCATTGTAACGCATCGCAACCCCGTATAACCCGTTCCAACCCAATATAGGCCAATACACGCCCATAGACCAGTATAACCCAGTATAAACCAGTATAAACCAGTATAACCCAGTATAAACCAGTATAAACCAGTATAAACCAGTATAAACCAGTATAACCCTGTATAAGCCATTCCAACCCAATATTACCAGTACAGCCCCTATAGACCAGTATAACCAGTATAAACCAGTATAAACCAGTACAAAACAGCCCATCCCAGACCCCAAACCAACCCAAACCAGTCCATCCCAGTCCATCCCAGTCCATCCCAGTCCAAACCAGTCCAAACCAGTCCAAACCAGTCCATCCCAGTCCCGAAACCAACCCAAACCAGTCCAAACCAGTATAAACCAGTCCATCCCAGTCCATTCCAGTCCAAACCAGTCCAAACCAACCCAAACCAACCCAAACCAACCCAAACCAGTCCAAACCAGTCCAAACCAGTCCAAACCAGTATAAACCAGTCCATCCCAGTCCCAAAACCAACCCAAACCAACCCAAACCAACCCAAACCAACTCAAACCAGTCCAAACCAGTCCAAACCAGTCCAAACCAGTATAAACCAGTATAAACCAGTATAAACCAGTCCATCCCAGTCCCGAAACCAACCCAAACCAGTCCAAACCAGTCCAAACCAGTCCAAACCAGTCCATCCCAGTCCATCCCAGTCCATTCCAGTCCAAACCAGTCCAAACCAACCCAAACCAACCCAAACCAACCCAAACCAGTCCATCCCAGTATAAACCAGTATAAACCAGTATAAACCAGTCCAAACCAGTCCAAACCAGTATAAACCAGTATAAACCAGTATAAACCAGTCCCGAAACTAACCCAAACCAGTCCCAAAACCAACCCAAACCAACCCAAACCAACCCATCCCAGTCCATCCCAGTATAAACCAGTATAAACCAGTCCAAACCAGTCCAAACCAGTATAAACCAGTCCAAACCAGTATAAACCAGTATAAACCAGTCCAAACCAGTATAAACCAGTATAACCCAGTCCAAACCAGTATAAACCAGTCCAAACCAGTACAAACCAGTCCAAACCAGTATAAACCAGTACAAACCAGTACAAACCAGTCCAAACCAGTATAAACCAGTATAACCCAGTCCAAACCAGTATAAACCAGTATAACCCAGTCCAAACCAGTATAAACCAGTATAAACCAGTATAAACCAGTATAAACCAGTATAACCCAGTATAACCCAGTATAAACCAGTCCAAACCAGTATAAACCAGTATAAACCAGTATAACCCAGTATAAACCAGTATAACCCAGTATAACCCAGTATAACCCAGTATAACCCAGTATAACCCAGTATAACCCAGTACAACCCAGTATAACCCAGTATAAACCAGTATAAACCAGTATAACCCAGTATAAACCAGTATAAACCAGTATAACCCAGTATAACCCAGTATAAACCAGTATAAACCAGTATAAACCAGTACAAACCAGTATAAACCAGTATAACCCAGTATAACCCAGTATAAACCAGTATAACCCAGTATAACCCAGTATAAACCAGTATAACCCAGTCCAACCCAGTATAAACCAGTATAAACCAGTATAACCCAGTATAACCCAGTATAAACCAGTATAAACCAGTACAAACCAGTATAAACCAGTATAAACCAGTATAAACCAGTATAAACCAGTACAAACCAGTATAAACCAGTATAAACCAGTATAAACCAGTATAAACCAGTATAACCCAGTATAAACCAGTATAACCCAGTCCAACCCAGTATAAACCAGTATAAACCAGTATAACCCAGTATAACCCAGTATAAACCAGTATAAACCAGTACAAACCAGTATAAACCAGTATAAACCAGTATAAACCAGTATAAACCAGTACAAACCAGTATAAACCAGTATAAACCAGTATAACCCAGTATAAACCAGTACAAACCAGTATAACCCAGTATAACCCAGTATAACCCAGTATAAACCAGTCCAAACCAGTATAAACCAGTATAAACCAGTATAAACCAGTATAACCCAGTCTAAACCAGTCCAAACCAGTATAACCCAGTATAACCCAGTATAAACCAGTGTAAACCAGTATAAACCAGTACAAACCAGTACTCACCAGTGGTGACGACCCCCGCGAACACCCAGCACTGCCCGTAGCGCACGGGCGCCCCGGTGCTGAGGAAACCCCGTAGGATCTGCACCGAGCCCGCCCATGCCGACGGGTTGGTGCCCTGCTCGTAGCGCCCCGTCCAGTTCCCCACCAGCACCCCGTTGTCGTCCAGAGAGTTCACCTATGGGTGCCAGGGGTGCCGCTATGGGTGCTAGTGGGTGCTATAGGGTGCTATTGGGTGCTACAGAGTGCTATGGGTGATATCGGATGCTATGGGGAGTAATGGATGCTATGGGATGGGAATGAGGGCTATAGGGTGCTAGGGGTGCTATTGGGTGCTATGGGGTGAGAATGGGTGCTGTGGGTGCTATTGGGTGCTATAGGGTGCTATGGGTGCTATAGGGTGCTATAGGGTGCTATAGGGTGCTATGGGTGATATCGGATGCTATGGGTAGTAATGAATGCTATAGGATGGGAACGAGTGCTATAGGGTGCTATGGGTGCTATTGGGTGCTATGGGGTGGGAATGGGTGCTATGGGTGCTATTGGGTGCTATTGGGTGCTATGGGTGCTATTAGGTGCTATTGGGTGCTAGAGAGTGCTATGGGTGATATCGGATGCTATGGGGAGTAATGGATGCTATGGGATGGGAATGAGGGCTATAGGGTGCTATGGGTGCTATTGGGTGCTATGGGGTGGGAATGGGTGCTATGGGTGCTATTGGGTGCTATGGGGTGCTATGGGTGCCATTGGGTGCTATTGGGTGCTAGAGAGTGCTATGGGTGATATCGGATGCTATGGGGAGTAATGGATGCTATGGGATGGGAATGAGGGCTATAGGGTGCTATGGGTGCTATTGGGTGCTATGGGGTGGGAATGGGTGCTATGGGTGCTATTGGGTGCTATTGGGTGCTATGGGTGCTATTAGGTGCTATTGGGTGCTATAGAGTGCTATGGGTGATATCGGATGCTATGGGGAGTAATGGATGCTATGGGATGGGAATGAGGGCTATAGGGTGCTATGGGTGCTATTGGGTGCTATGGGGTGGGAATGGGTGCTTTGGGTGCTATTGGGTGCTATGGGTGCTATAGGGTGCTATTGGGTGCTAGAGAGTGCTATGGGTGATATCGGATGCTATGGGGAGTAATGGATGCTATGGGATGGGAATGAGTGCTATAGGGTGCTAGGGGTGCTATAGGGTGCTATGGGGTGGGAATGGGTGCTATAGGGTGCTATAGGGTGCTATAGGGTGCTATAGGGTGCTATGGGTGCTATAGAGTGCTATGGGTAGTAATGGATGCTATAGGATGCTAATGAGTGCGGGTTGGTGCCCTGCTCGTAGCGCCCCGTCCAGTTCCCCACCAGCACCCCGTTGTCGTCCAGAGAGTTCACCTATGGGTGCCAGGGGTGCCGCTATGGGTGCTAGTGGGTGCTATAGGGTGCTATTGGGTGCTAGAGAGTGCTATGGGTGATATCGGATGCTATGGGGAGTAATGGATGCTATGGGATGGGAATGAGGGCTATAGGGTGCTATGGGTGCTATTGGGTGCTATGGGGTGGGAATGGGTGCTATGGGTGCTATTGGGTGCTATAGGTTGCTATGGGTGCTACAGACTGCTATGGGTGCTATAGAGTGCTATGGGTAGTAATGGATGCTATGGGATGGGAATGAGGGCTATAGGGTGCTATGGGTGCTATAGGGTGCTATGGGGTGGGAATGGGTGCTATGGGTGCTATAGGGTGCTATTGGGTGCTATAGGGTGCTATAGGGTGCTATAGGGTGCTATGGGTGCTATAGAGTGCTATGGGTAGTAATGGATGCTATAGGATGCTAATGAGTGCGGGTTGGTGCCCTGCTCGTAGCGCCCCGTCCAGTTCCCCACCAGCACCCCGTTGTCGTCCAGAGAGTTCACCTATGGGTGCCAGGGGTGCCGCTATGGGTGCTAGTGGGTGCTATAGGGTGCTATTGGGTGCTAGAGAGTGCTATGGCTGATATCGGATGCTATGGGGAGTAATGGATGCTATGGGATGGGAATGAGTGCTATAGGGTGCTATGGGTGCTATTGGGTGCTATGGGGTGGGAATGGGTGCTATGGGTGCTATTGGGTGCTATGGGGTGCTATGGGGTGCTATAGGGTGCTATGGGTGCTATAGAGTGCTATGGGTAGTAATGGATGCTATAGGATGCTAATGAGTGCGGGTTGGTGCCCTGCTCGTAGCGCCCCGTCCAGTTCCCCACCAGCACCCCGTTGTCGTCCAGAGAGTTCACCTATGGGTGCCAGGGGTGCCGCTATGGGTGCTAGTGGGTGCTACAGGGTGCTATTGGGTGCTATTGGGTGCTATGGGTGATATCGGATGCTATGGGGAGTAATGGATGCTATGGGATGGGAATGAGGGCTATAGGGTGCTATGGGTGCTCTATGGTGCTATACGATGGTAATGGGTGCTATGGGTGCTATTGGGTGCTATAGGGTGCTATGGGTGCTAGAGAGTGCTATAGAGTGCTATAGGATGCTATGGGTGATATCGGATGCTATGGGGAGTAATGGATGCTATGGGATGGGAATGAGGGCTATAGGGTGCTATGGGTGCTATAGGGTGCTATGGGGTGGGAATTTGTGCTATGGGTGCTATTGGGTGCTATAGGGTGCTATAGGGTGCTATTGGGTGCTATAGGGTGCTATGGGTGCTATAGAGTGCTATGGGTAGTAATGGATGCTATAGGATGGGAATGAGTGCTATAGGGTGCTATGGGTGCTATAGGGTGCTATGGGGTGGGAATGGGTGCTATGGGTGCTATTGGGTGCTATAGGGTGCTATGGGGTGCTATAGGGTGCTATGGGTGCTATAGAGTGCTATGGGTAGTAATGGATGCTATAGGATGCTAATGAGTGCGGGTTGGTGCCCTGCTCGTAGCGCCCCGTCCAGTTCCCCACCAGCACCCCGTTGTCGTCCAGAGAGTTCACCTATGGGTGCCAGGGGTGCCGCTATGGGTGCTAGTGGGTGCTATAGGGTGCTATTGGGTGCTATTGGGTGCTATGGGTGATATCGGATGCTATGGGGAGTAATGGATGCTATGGGATGGGAATGAGTGCTATAGGGTGCTATGGGTGCTATTGGGTGCTATGGGGTGGGAATGGGTGCTATGGGTGCTATTGGGTGCTATTGGGTGCTATGGGTGCCATTGGGTTCTATTGGGTGCTATAGAGTGCTATGGCTGATATCGGATGCTATGGGGAGTAATGGATGCTATGGGATGGGAATGAGTGCTATAGGGTGCTATGGGTGCTATAGGGTGCTATTGGGTGCTATGGGTGCTATAGGGTGCTATGGGTGCTATAGGGTGCTATGGGGTGCTATAGGGTGCTATGGGTGCTATAGGGTGCTATGGGGAGTAATGGATGCTATAGGATGCTAATGAGTGCTACAGAATGCTAGGGGTGCTATAGGGTGCTATGGGGTGGGAATGGGTGCTATGGGTGCTAGTGGGTGCTATTGGGTGCTATGGGTGCTATGGGTGCTATTGGGTGCTATAGGGTGCTATGGGTGCTATAGAGTGCTATGGGTAGTAATGGATGCTATAGGATGGGAATGAGTGCTGTAGAATGCTAGGAGTGCTATAGGGTGCTATGGGGTGGGAATGGGTGCTATGGGTGCTAGTGGGTGCTACTGGGTGCTATTGGGTGCTATAGGGTGCTATAGAGTGCTATGGGTGCTATAGGATGCTATGGGTAGTAAAGTATGCTATAGGATGGGAACAAGTGCTATAGGGTGCTATGGGGTGATAATGGGTGCTATAAGGTGGTAATGGGTGCTCTAGGGTGCTATGGGTGCTATAGGGTGCTATGGGGTGGTAATGGGTGCTATAGAGTGCTATGGGTACTATAGAGTGCTATGGGTGCTATAGGATGGTAATGAGTGCTATGGGTGCTCTAGGGTGCTCTAGGATGGGAATGGGTGACAGTGGGTGCTATAGGGTGCTATGGGTGCTAGTGGGTGCTATTGGGTGCTATAGGGTGCTATGGGTGCTATAGAGTGCTATGGGTGCTCTAGGGTGCTATAGGATGGGAATGGGTGACAGTGGGTGCTGTAGGGTGCTATGGGTGCTCTAGGGTGCTATAGGATGGGAATGGGTGACAGTGGGTGCTATAGGGTGCTATGGGTGCTATGGGGTGCTACGGGGTGCTATAGACTGCTATGGGTGCTATGGGGTGCTATAGAGTGCTATGGGTGCTATGGATGCTATAGGGTGCTATGGGTGCTATCGGGTGCTATGGGTGCTATAGAGTGCTATAGGGTGCTACGGGTGCTATAGGGTGCTATGGGTGCTATAGGGTGCTATAGGGTGCTATAAGATGCTATGGGTGCTATAGGGTGCTATAGGGTGCTATAGGATGCTATGGGTGCTATAGAGTGCTATGGGTGCTATAGGTTGCTATGGGAGCTATGGGGTGCTTTGGGAGCTCTAGGATGGGAATGGGTGACAGTGGGTGCTATAGGGTGCTATGGGGTAGTAATGGGTGCTATAGGGTGCTATAGGGTGCTATGGGTGCTATAGGGTGCTATAGGGTGCTATAAGATGCTATGGGTGCTATAGGGTGCTATAGGGTGCTATAGGATGCTATGGGTGCTATAGAGTGCTATGGGTGCTATAGGTTGCTATGGGAGCTATGGGGTGCTTTGGGAGCTCTAGGATGGGAATGGGTGACAGTGCGTGCTATAGGGTGCTATGGGGTGGTAATGGGTGCTATGGGGCGCTATGGGTGCTATAGGGTGCTATGGGGTGGCAATGGGTGCTATAGGGTGCTATGGGTGCTATAAGGTGCTACAGGTGCTATAGGGTGGTAATGGGTGCTATGGGTACTAATGGGTGGTAATGGGTGCTATGGGGTGGGAATGGGTGCTATAGACTGCTATGGGTGCTGTAAGGTGCTACAGGTGCTATAGAGTGGTAATGGGTGCTATGGGGTGGGAATGGGTGCTATAGACTGCTATGGGTGCTATGGGTGCTGTGGGGCGGTAATGGGTGCTATAGGGTGGGAAAGGGGCCAATGGGTGCTAATGGGGGCCAATGGGGCCAATGGGGACCAATGGGTGCTATAGGGTGCTAATGGGTGACAATGGGGGATAATGGGGGACAATGGGTGCCCAACCCCATGGAGACCCCATCCCGCCCCATA